TCACCTTGAAAAAACAATATGACCCGTTGATCCTATAATGGACAAATGAGCCAATGACGGTTAAAGCAGGCCTCCCATCACCCAATCCTAATGCAAGAGTCTTACAATAATAAAAGTAACCAACGGAAAACTAAAAAGTCTGATCATGAAAAATAAATAGTAAGCAAATAGTAAAATTAAAATACATCTTTCAAACCCTAGACTTTCCTGCACTCCATGGCAGTGGTTCAGGAGGGGGATGATCCAGCAGTGTTGTAGCTGCTTCCTTGTCTTGCCTCTTGTTCATCATGTTCTCTACCTAGCCTCCTCTGTCACCACCTATCACGGATGATCTCGAATCCAGATCTGTTTCAGCCTCTAGCCTCATGCTTCGTTCACGACCTTTGGCTGCCTGAGACCAAGCATCTGTCGTCCGTCCTTGCACAATCTTCGGCCGCCAGAGACCAGACATCATCTCCCATCCGCTTAATCTCGCCAAAGCAAAAGAAGAAGAAAAGCCGCACAATGATGGCGGAAGGAGAAACTTGAACGCCTAAGCCCGCCTGCGACGGCCGCTCCTCATTACAAACGATAGCGGGGGAATAAACCCTAGCGGCGGAAACCCGCCCTAGAGAGAAGCGAGAGTTTATGTCAGTACGATGAATTCTAAAATTGTATAAAAAATATGCAAAAAAATTAAATACTTTTGTATATATTTGTAAATCGTTCACATTTATTTTTTCTGACTCTAAAGTTAGTATTCGACAAAAATCGCAGCAATCGTAAAAAAACAAGTTACTAAACAGAAATTGTACGGAGTAATTTTTTTTACTTAACTTAGTTTTAGACGTCGTTTACCCTATTTGGTGAGCCTACGATTGGAATCTCCACCAATTGCTAAACTTAGGATAGAAATGTAAAATTAGCTGAATTATTGTTAAAAAAGTAAATAATTATTTACATGAAAAGAGTTAAAATGACCTTCAACATATGTAACAACATTCTAAAGTGTGGAGTAAGAATAAATATTTCGACTGAAATTCTCTGATACGGCCTGTGTAAGTCTAGTATGGTATGATTTATTTAAGTTTAGTCTGATCTTGTATGATAAACGTTTGGTGTTTATGTATTTTACTATTGTCTGAATCTGATCAGATATACCTGATTTGTTTCAGTCTGGTCTGATTTGATCAATCTACTTAAATCAACTATGATGTGAGAGTAAAACCAATCCAATTAAACACATGTCTCATTATGTTTGGAGAATGAAAAATGAATCGCATGTAAATGAAAGTGAAATTAAAGGATGGATTTTAATTTATAAATATGAATACATTTAAATCGTACAACTATCACACATAGAACCCATTTGGTAACACGAAAATCGATCGATTCGGTTGATTCTGTTGAAATTTATGAAGTTCTGGCTGAAGTGGATGCATCGGCCGATTCTGCTGATTTAAGAAAAATTATTTTTAAAATATATTTTATTACTAAAATAAACAAAAAATTATATGTCAAACTAGCTAAAATGATCATCTACAGTAAATTCAACCAATAGAGTCAGAATTTACTAAGCCTGCAAACCCAGAAACAGCCTTACAAAACGGCCTCCTAGTATGAGAGTAATGAAATCGATGTGACTTTAGACCGTAGTTTTGTGCCCCCGATGGGGATATAACCTTGGTCCAAAAGGTGAAATCTCCCACCCTAGGAACCCCCCACCCCGACCCGACAGGATGGTGGAGAGATTAATCACGATGACTCAGTTAACAAAGCGACGGTAGATCTTATACACGTACGCACCAGAGGTCCAGCCTTATTTCAGGGATGGAGATATAACCTGTTAGGGTTAAGAGTAATGGGACTTGTAACTTGTTGACTCTAAAGTCTAAACGATGAACAAAACGAGGAAAACTTCTTTATCCGGATATTAAAGTTATTATTTTGTCCGAAACATATCCACGCATGCACCTATACTTAGGGTTTATTTGCATTTTCCCATTTTATACTCCCCCGTCTCGAAAAGGTTAGTCAAAGTAAAAACTGTGTGGTTGAAATTTGTGCATAGGATAGAGAATAAATTTTAGCCCCATATTCTTTACTTTAAATGAAAATGACAAATCTTTTTGGTACATCCAAAAAAGGAAATTTGGCCAACCTTTTCGTGACGGAGGGAGTGTAATCTTTTTTCAATTAATCATCAATTCATCATCCCGTTGATGTAAAAACATTAGTGTCTCAATTCATTTATAAAGTATGATCGTAAAAATATAAGTCCCGCTTCGTGTACACGACATTGTACACGTCATTGTACACGTCGGCCGTGAGAACGTAGCCCAGATTTCAACGGTCGAATAATCTAAGAATAATTGGAAGAATTAAAACCGTAGAAGAGAAATTCAATATCAACTTATACCGGGTATATAGAATGATGAATCCATGAAGAACAATACACAGTACTCGAACAAGCTAGAGAGAGAATTTCTAATCTAATCTACCCGCGGCGGCCGTGTGGAGGTTACAGAACCTGAAATAAGGCTGGACCTCTGGTGCGCACGTGTATAAGGCCTACTGCCGCTTTGCTGACTGAGTCACCGTGATTAACCTCTACACCATCATGTCGGGTCGGGTGGGGGGGAGGCTTGGGGTTGGGCATTCAACCTTTTTGGACCAAGAATTTCTAATCTACGTGCTCTACCAGAATAATATGCGAAATAAAATGTGTAGAGACTCAGGGAGCAGATTCGGCCATCTCAGCCTTATTTATAGGAGAGATGTTCGAACTGCCTCATTACAATTAGGAATGCAGCTTTAGGCGTGTGAGCTTAATTAGAGCAAGATTAAATGAGCCTAATTCTCTCTTAGCTAAACTAATTAAATACAAAAACTCATTAAATAAATTATAAATAAATTGAACACAATAAATAATATTCTAACATCGGCTAAATTGTCTATGTACAAACTATATGAAGAAACCAATTTGCACAAAGACATAAACAACAATTTGTCTATATGACAAACATTTTAAACGATTTTTTTATAAAATGTATGTAATACAGACAATTTGATCGTCTTTTTATGAAGAAAACCGATTTCCCCAAGACAACAAAAAATTGTGTATATCACAAACATTTTAAACGAGATTTTTTCATAAAATGTGTGATACAGATAATTTTAAACGAGAATTTTAAAAAGAGAATTTTAAAATGGCTATGATATAGACAATTTGTTGTTTTATCTGTGTAAACATCGGTTTTCTTCAAAAAGTGATGGTCAAATTATCTGTACGCATACAATTTAACCGACGTGTACGTGCAAATTGTCGTGTGCAAAGAGTATTTTTCTACAAAAAAAAGGATGACACCCAGTAAATTTATCCATGAAGACCCCTCAACCTCGATCGACGGTACGTTGGGAGGATGTAAATTGGACTATAATATCAATGTGAGAGATGGAGAGTGAATATATTTTTCTACAAATATACTCTGTAGTGACTAAGGTACAACAAGAAAACAGTAAAATCCCTGACCCATTCCACATGAAAGAGAAGAGAAGAGGCATGTGACGTTAGGTGTAGCCTCGACATCTTAAATGCCAAGCTTTCCATGTGTACTACTTACTGTACCTACTCATGTCTTCAAGATTCCAGAATTTAAAAGAGAAAAGTACAGTAGACCTTAGAAATGCTGGGCCCTAAGAAAAGACATTCAATTTGCACCATTACGCACTTACAAACACATTATTGAGTTTTGGTAAGAGTATCCAAAATGTACCCCATTTTTACCCAACCCTTAATGTGTGGTCATAAATGAGCCAATTTACTTATTTACACAATGCAAAGAATCTTGACTCTGGGAAGGTGGGTGTAGTCCTCGATGACCATCCACCCCCAATCTCTCCTTTGTGGGAGGTCTTGCGTTCAATTCTCACCAAGGAGAGATGATGGAGGTCTTGCTCTCAATGATTCTTCATACCTTCACGGAGTTGCTCAGCGGCAGAGAAGGAAGAGGATGGTAATGAAGGTAGCGGGTTCGTGTGGTGGGAGGAGCAGCTTGAAAAGTGATGTAAGTCCTGCTGAATTCGTCCTTTGGAGCCACTACTGATGAGGCTGACTGTGATCAGATCCGGATTTAACTGTCTAGGAGCTTTGGAGGGTAGTTCATAGACTCCAGGATTATGGGAGCGTAAGCCCCGACACCTGGATTATCAAAAAAAAAAAAGAATCTTGACTCTTTATAGTACAACTTACATCATACGAAGTACGAGGTAGTTTATACATTGACAAAGGAGGCAAGTCGCTCGTGAGCTACTCCGGAGCCACTTGATCAAAATTCGTGTTCGGTCACCACTCGATCAAAATTCGTGTTCCGTCACCGCTCGATCGAAATATGTGTTCAGTCAAGCTCAAACTCGAGCGAAACTCAAGCGAAACTTGAGCTAGCTCATTGTTGAAATCATCTCACAGCTTTGCACACTCCTCACAAGTGACAGGGTGAGCAGATGTGCTGAGGCTCTTAAGCACATGGGACCCAAAAAGGTTCTAACAATGACTTTAAGTGACCATGTGCCCAAATCTCCAAGTGCATATCATGTGCCCAATTTTTTATTATCAGATCTTGAATAGTAGATTGCACTCAAATGGATACAATCAATCTGGTTCAAGTTCTTGACGACCGATTCCAATCACAGATTCACAAAAGTTGTTCAACCGCTTATTCAACTGACCTTGTTCACAATGATTCTAGGCCAGGTTTTCAAAAGGAAATAAGGGATGAAGGTTAAGACTAAACAAGGTTTTTGTTCCAACCACCCGGTCTTGGATTTTTTTTGTCTGATACTCCGTATGTTCTAGTCTGAACTAGTCTAAAAAATGTCTTGTCTCTATAAAAGCCTCCTAGTCTGTTATCTGATATGAGATTGAGATAAGTCCAAGTAAATACATCTTAAGTGGTGACAACATGGTCAAAAACCGAACAGTATCGGTCCGGACCCATGTCAACAATAATGAAGTTGTGAGAGACAAGTACAAGACAAGCCAATTAATAAGGATGGAGAGGAAGAATAACTGCATCAACTAAGAAAGGAACATTAATTCCAGTGCGTTATGGGTGTTTTACATCAAAGGACTAACCATCAGAATAAAGAACATGAATGGATATTGAGGGAGCATATTTATCCCCCTACACCATACTACAAGATCAAAATTTACCCATATGACAAGTTGGCACTTGCCTTCCTACTTGATCTGCCAAACAACTACTTGTATCCACCCTTCCATCAAACCTTCACCCTGCAATGTGTTCCCCATCTTCAGTGTGTATTCCCACAGATTCAGATTCTAGACCTCTGAAGCAACAAAGAATGTCTATTGGCATATAACACGATAAAAAATGGATTAAAATGACAGAAAGATGTGAGCTTTCATATACCTTGGCTAGTGTCTCTAGAATTCCCATTCAAAAGTTTGTGGTTCTCGTCTTTGGTCTTGAGGTTGTCCTTGGTCAACGGTATCAAAAACGTTGCTGATACGGACCTATCTGCCAATTCTGTGTCAAACCGGCACTTCTTTAGTATTTTACCAGTCAACATGATTACAACAAATAAACTCTCCAACATATTCTGCATTTTAAAACATCATCAATCGATGCTAACCTGGTAACTTTTTGTCAACATAAAACACCACTAAATTCACTGTGTACCTGTACAACATTTCAAAACAATTCAAAATATTAATTAAAACAACAATGTAGCTCGTGTTTCGAAGAACTTTTATTGAATAATAATCTTCCTCACCAAGCCACAACGACATCAACAGTGTAGTGCTTCCGTGAAGCAATAATCAAGAAACTTTGGACAATAACACATAACCATGCACATTGCTTAATGAACCTAAAGATTCAGCAAAAATCTTAATTGGCTGAATGAAATTGAGAAATACTTCCAACAGATTTAGGTTGAGAGTGTACGTGTACCTTCGCGTGCCATACTTTTGATACGTCCGGACAAAGACAAGAGAGAAGATCATATGGGATGAGAATATAAGATCCCCACAACCATAAAGTACTCCCCGAGGAACTGTAAATTCATGACAATCAAAAAATTAATAACAAAGTCAAATACCAAAAGCTCAAGTGAAACAAATTGTGTATAAGTGTCGCATACAATTGATAATCAGAAATTCCACAATACTATCAGGGCGAGGAAGCGTAGCAAGCCTTGAACCCTGCATATTACAGAAACAATTCCCTTGTCACGCCACAAATTCAAGCAGAAATGAAAAATAAAATGAAGTATAAGAACAGAAGATATGTGCAACACATTTTATGCTTTTACCTCACGACAGTGATAATTTGGCCCTGGAAGTTGCGTAGAATAGAAAGTTATAATACGAAGAAATTGAGAAACCTGCATTATAGTAAAATCAGTTGTCATTTAAAAAATCAATTAATACTGAACTTCCACTTATGACTCCAAGTAGTAGAAAAAAATCTTTTTTTGTCTGGTGACAGTTAGGTCTTCTCATTTTTTATCAATATTTTCAGTTATTCCACTTTTGGTGTATGAAAATGATTATTGACATTTTGTTCCTTTCCGGCCACATATCAGGCAAAAATCAACAATAAAATGTACGGAAACTGAAATTGTATGTGTAAGGAAGGACCATAACAAGCGGTTTTTTGTAATTGTACAAGGAGAACAGAAACTTACGACCAAGAAAGCCAAAACCCTGCACCATATTAGCACCGTGTAGATCTTTTTGCTCTTTAAAATGAATGGATGGAAAGTCCACTGTAGCATAGTTGAAACACATTATTAAAAGTCATGATAAGTGAGAAATAAAATATACACTGGGATTAGCCGATTAGGTAGGGGTGGGCATATCGATTTGGTTTAACCGAACTGAACCGTACCAAACCGAACTAGACCGACCCCAAACCAGACCGTATGCAATTTTGTTTGAGTTCAGTTCTATTTCTTCCAAACCGTACTAAACCGAACCGAAACCTATAAAACCGGAAAAAACCAAACCGAACTAAAAAATTCGAAAAAACCTTCATATATTATTAAAAAATAACAAATCCAAACCGAACCGAAAAGAACTAAACCGACCCGAACCAAACCGAAAAATAGTACAGAGTATGGTTTTTGTGTTTGGTAATAATTCTTCCAACCCGAAAGTAATATAAACCGAACCGAAAACCGTTATACCCACTCCTAGAATTAGGTATCATTTAACTAATAACAAATTCAAGTAATTAAGAAAAAGATAAAAAGGATAGATGTGGAAGGATGACTCACCAAGAAAAAGGACGTAAAGATGAAAGTGAAAACTGTTTCACTGATGTAAGCCTTGTCTTGACCAAGTTCCTATGATTTTTAACCAAAGGTAAAAACGAGCAAGAATCTTCTCCCAAGTAGAACTAATCAGCCAAATGGGGAAGGCAAAACTCACAGGAAGAAGAAAGAACCCAGCATCCTGTAGTATAGGTCCCGGGCGGTGTATGTAATGAACCCCTCGAGCAGCCAGACCATGGATGTACTGAAGATATAAGAGAGACAATTAGAATCACATAAATCATACGGAGTATCTATGATCTATCCAAAAGACAATAACTAGAAGAAAAGATTAAAGGCATCAACAGAATTTACTGACTTAACCTAAATAAGCAGCCATAGGACACTAAGATAAAACTCAATCTTGGATTAATACAACAGTATGGTCCAATAGAAAAGCTCATATACATAGCTGAATCAAGACCGTAAATAACCAAAGAAAGTTTGTATTTACAGATAAAAAAGGATAAAAACCCATAAAATATAAAGAGTGAATAAGGGAAAAGATGCATGCCTGACAAATTAAACCTCCAAGAAGATACTTCCAATTCTCGGCAAGAAGTTTGATCTCTGTTACAGTCTCTGCATAAATTCTCTTCCATAGCTTCTCTCAAATAAAAAACCAGAGTATATCAAGAAAAAGCCCATCTTTTTTTTGAAATCAAAGAAACACAATGTATTATTCAAATAAAAAAGACGAACCTTTGAAGCTTCTCTACCAATGTAAAGCGACATTTTCGTATGTGTATATCACTGACAACACTTCCATATTACATCAGAAAGCTACAGCGAACGTCGCTCATCTTAAACGCCAAAACAACCCAATTCGATTCCGGCAACCCGAACTTGCCCACAATCCTCCAAAGACAAATCGACGACAGAGTAAAGAATTCAAGGATTCCCCCGCCACAAAACCAAACTGAAAGATCTCGTTTTGAGAAGCGAAAATGACCGGACAATTCGATTTCCACAATCCCTGAAGGAAAGAATCAATTTTGCAATAATATATACTGATCAAAAAATGGTTGATCGATTTGTCTCTATCATCATCATCATCATAGCGTGTTACGCGTGAATATTATCTCTTGAGTTCTCTTTCTCTCAATGGGTTTTCTTCGTGATAGGTGCTAAGGCTGCTAAAAACGCGAGTCGAACACGGAGCGGCAGTTGAGTACGATAGAGAGAGAAACACAATAACCTTTTAAAACACAGGGAAGAAAAGGGAAACTCGTACGAGAAAAACTCTCTTTTTACAAAATAATGCTGGACATTCGACTCGAGATTCGAGAATGAAAATTAACCCCCTTTTTTGGATTTGCGGTTTTTCACCTTTCCTTAAACTTTTCCAGGGCCTTAACTGAAATGTTTTGAAGTTTCAAGATCTTCCATTGAAATACGGAGTATTTTTTAGTTTTGATCTATTAGTAAAAAATCATCATTTATAATATTTTCTTCCCTTCCATAAAAGTTACAACATTGGAATTTCTGCACTATTCACAAATCTTACTTTGACTACGATTTTCTAATAATGTATATAATAAAAATATTATGTATAAAATATTAATAAATTTGTATTAATGTAAATTTCCAATATATTAACTTTTTTAATGTTTACTAATACGTAAATAAATATAATTACAGTCAAAGTTGCGCGTTGGCAAACGTGAAAGACAAACTGTTGCAACTTTTATGGAACGGAGGATAGTACGAGGTGATTACTACTCCCTCTATTAATTACTCATTTATCTTCTAGTACAACTGACGTGATAATTAAGATAGTGGGTATTATGTGATGAAAAGTTGTACATGGGAGAAAGAAATGAGCAATAATGTGTAAGAAATGTTGTTAACCACAAATTCTTTGTCTAAAGGGAAAGAGAATAATTTTGGGACGAACGAAAAAACAAAGTTTGAAGATAATATTGGGACAGAGGGGGTACAAAAAGTACATGTCCAGGGATGGCAACGAGCGGGCGGGTTAGAGTCTCAAACCGGAAAATTGTGGAGTGATAAAGTGCTATATTTAGATTTAGGTTACCCCTCTTTGATTTTTTTGGTATGGAACCTCAGATCTTAACAATACAGAGTAAGACGCATGTTTGAGAGTCGCCCAACAGTAAACCCTACGAGGCAGCCCAACTTTTCTCCAATCGACAGCCATAGATGGATGATTGACAGCCACCATTAACATATTCCTTGGAGAATAAAGTAACGGGTTCTACTATGCCTCCGTTTTTATTTGATTTTTAATTGGAAAGGTATGCTTTTGGTCGAGAATTTTGTCAGCTTCAAGTGAGCGTGAGATATGTTCTCCTCCTAGCGATGTTTAAAGGTTGTGTATTCCTCGTTGGTATAACTAATCGGGTGGTGAGTTTTCATTGTGCATGGGTGGCAAGACTTGTTGAACCTAGTTTTTCTGAGGTCCCAATTATTCGCCCTCCTCCTGAACTGGATGTCCTTCTCGGTGGCTCTTCAAATCGGTGATTCAGACAAATTTTGGTCAATAGAACTTCCTTTGTTAGTTGCTGATCAAAACAATTCTCTCTTTCCGGTGACTAGTAAATCCAGATATTCTGGTTGTAGATTTTTTTCTTTGGAGTAGTAAAGGCAGCAAGACAATTAGATCAGACTATACTATTGCGGGGTTAGCGATCTGGAAGGATTCATGGAATCTTTTCTGTTTAATGTCTCATCCCATTGTAACCTTAGACTATTCATTCACATGTTTTTTGCTATCATATAATGAATAATTAGTTATTTGATTACCGGAAAAAAAAGTTTCTCACATACTTGCCATCCCCCGTTACTCTTAGCCCCGCCCCACGCTTTGTCCCCACAAGTTTCCAAATAAATTTTAGTTATCTTATATGCATATTTTTCAAACCACTTTATACATACATACATACACCACACACACACACATTATCATTAGTACTAAACAAGTCAAACTACAAAATATTAAAGATCTCATGCCACATCTCTTTTGCAGTATACATGCTATCAATCTGCATATAAATGTCGTTCGGGATAGCCTGTAGTATGTACGTCTTTGCCAGGAGATCTGCTCGGAGTTTTGCTCTGTCATCATCGTCATATTCTTCTTCCGTCTTTGGTCTTAGTCCTTCACCAACTGTGGGGGTGTTGTCTTCATTTCTAACGACAACAATCATAAGTTGAGCAAGACCATTTGTGATAGAGTCTAACAGTTCGAAGGATTGGTTCTTGCTCTCAGGAAACTTAAGAAACATGTTCTTCCACACATTATATTCACCTCTTCGCAGTATCGGGGGCCTTTTTCATTGCCAATAGATAGAGCGTCAATGTTGGATTTGATCGGGATGATCTGTTGATTGTTTAAGAGTTCCTGTTTTTGCTCAAGTATAACTTCTCGCAGAAGGTTCATGCACACACAGGTTTGTGCAGAGCAACAGGTTCGCGCACAGTGCTACTTCGCTCACGCCGCTTTCGCGCACAAGGAGGATTGCGCACGAGAGAAGATTGTGCACGGCAACTTCACGCACCGCGCTTTGCGCACAAGAGTTTGCGCACCAGTGATTTTCGCGCAAGGCAGATTGCGCACTTAACTTTGCGCACAACTTCCTTCACGGAAGAGAGGAAGTCCGCACACAAAGTTATGCATGAAAATGACTTTCGACCTGTTGGATTTGACCGGGCTGTATATACTTTCTGAATGGGGGGATCAGCAGTGGACATTGAAAATGAATTACAAATAATATTTTACTTCGAGCCTTGTATTTACTTATGATGTCTTCTTTGTGGGGGTGGGACAACTTTGAATTGTTGGTTCTTCCATTTGGTACATACTTGAAAGAATTGACATAGTGCCAACTAAGATAAATTCTGATGCACTATTAACATTTGCACAACTTTTTTGTTATGACGTTAATTGACATAGTTTTGAATGTCTGATAATTCATAAAGTGTGGTACAAACAATCTCTTAACTTTAGTAAAAGACAGATGAAGTCTCTCAAACTAACCTGAGCTAGAAAAATATAGCTCTTATAATAAAAGACAAACAAAAAACAGTTAAACTCTCAAACTTTTTATTGTTAGAACATAAACATATCTTTAGAACCAAAGAAATGGGGTTGCATCATATACCAATGAGGAGATAAATCAAATACATGTAGAAATACACATGTATCTCTAGTTTTACATAGTAGGAGATATTTTTTAAACCTTGAGAAGTATGAGGTGGGGATCTCACACTTACCCAAAGTTAAGGTTATTTTTTTTATTATCCCCTATACCAATTAAAAATTTTATGAAAGGGAATTCCGATAGATGTTGTCAATCTTTCTATTATTTGTGATACTAAAAAGAAGACAATTGAAGAGTTCACTATCTCTTCATACTAAAAAGCTATTATGTTAATTAGTGTAATGAATTGGACCGAATAGTATTGGACTTACATTTACATTAGGGTGGCTATCTCCCTTAACATACAAATAATTGGGTTGTCATAGAAGTAAATGGGTGGAAGTTTAAGCTCTGTCTTTGTGTTTTAGGTTAGAGATGTTCTAGGTAGTCATCTTGAGTGTGAAATGGGATCATTTACCATTTCTTGCTCTCTAAATGCAGCATACCGTATATGAAGTTTTTTTTACATTTCAGCAACCACATAGCTACCAAACCAAGTAGGGAAAATGAAATTAAAACAACACCCAAGTGTAAGGAAACGACATCAAGTTACTTCACATTGACATTTCAGCAAACACATTGTAATCAAAATAAAACAAAGGGATACAAAGAAATAAACAAAAAATACAAATGCAGGGATGGAAAAAAATACGAAAACAAAGAAATAAGATGATCAAGGAAAAGAAACTATGGTAATTTAGGTATGAATTGGACGTAAATGTAAATGAAATATTTAATTTATAATTAGGAGAGAAAAAGAAACTTACAAAGGGATGCCAATAACTCCAAAATATGTTCAATACAAGGTGCTAAATATTTATAGATGGATAATTAAGTACTCTTAAGTATCCAAACAACAGTTTCACAACCATACTTGCTTGCCACCTTTTCTTGAACAGAAAAAAGAAAAAGAGGAATGGGATGCGCACTGCGAAGGGCTGAAAGGAAAGGCTTAAGTGAGCTCATAGTTTGAAATTTACCAATGAATCGTGACACCAAGATAGGCTTTAACGGCAAAGCTAACCGTTTATTCACGCCATAGTCTTCTATGGCAGGCAGGTATGGTTGTGAAACCGTTTATTCATGCCTCCATAGCTATTTGGCAGTAGGCATGAATAAACGGCATGAACGTGGACTTAAAGGAACGATCAATGCACAACGGCAAAAACGTTACAAGAGTTCTGTTCGAACTAATGTGTAATTAATGACATTTATTGTATCGGTTTCCTCCTAGAATACTAGTTCCTAAAGTCTATAAATACTTCATGTAAACTTCCTATGAAGGGATCGAACTCCGGATAATAAAATACTGCCTTACGCTGCTATATTTTCATCTGCTCTCATAGATATAGCTCTCGTAGTTGGATTAGCAAATTCTAATAGATGGTGTCAATGTTTTTATTTTAATTTTCTTTTACTTTGAATATTTTTTGTATGGATTTATACTTTTTTATATTCATTTATTGTACTTCATCTTTGAAATGATGTAAAATTGTAAAAAACATATATTTTTATAGTTAATCATAGTGTGAATAAAAATATATATGGACCAACTGTTTTTTGGACCAACATATATAGTGTAAAAATATACTCCCTCCGTCCCTAAATTATCTTCAAACTTTCCTTTTTCGTCCGTCCCAAAATTATCTCCTCTTCCCCCTTTTAGCAAAAAATTTGTGGTTCACAATCATTCTTACACATTCTTACACATTTCTCTCTCCTCTGCACAACTCTCCACCACACAAATCTCACTATCTTAATAAATGTGCCCAGCCGAAAAGGGAGAAAGATTAGGGACGGAGGGAGTACGTAGTATATTATGCTAGTTGTAGAGAAGATAAATAGATGGAGGCAATGGTTTTGAGGTACATGTATGGGCCTACACAACTTGGGCTCCGGCGTATCCGATATTCCTATCCCACATAGCCCAGGAACAGCGTAGCTTAATTCCCCTGTGCTTCACCCAACAATGTTGCCTCTTTCCACTACTCTAACTCCGACCGGCGACGGATAAAAGTCTTCGTCGTCGGCGACTTGGATCTCCCAACCTTTTACAGGTAAACGACAGTAACTC